GGTGATCGGCCGACCTATTATGGCATTGTACAAGGAGGGAGTCGCGACCACTAGAAAAGGGTGGACGAATCTCACAATACTAGGCCATGTGCCGACCTCCACAAGTACTATAACTCTCCCCATGGGCCTGACTTCCTCTCTGCTGAAGCCCACCAAGGGAGTGTTTGCGGGCTTGAGGTCACTTTCCCGAAGCTGAAGTTTGTCAAACGCGGCCTTGAAGAGTATATCCGCCGAACTACCGGAGTCGACAAGGACGCGCCTTACCTCAAAATCTTTGATTCTCATTTTTACAACGAGTGCGTCATCGTGGGGGTACTGGACTCCGCGCGTGTCATCTTTAGTGAAGAAAATTGGTTCCTCTACCCTTGGCCGCTTCGGGGGATTCCTCTCTTCTCTTTCGATCTCGCGAGCCGAGGTCCTTGCTGTGGCTGAGGTGCAGCCTGCGACGATCGATCCGCCGGCTGCCGCTGCGGCTGCTCATTCTGCCTGTTGCTAGACTCGGGAGCGTCTCTACCTTGCTCTCCCTACCGTCCTATTTTATTATCACTTTACAATTTTCGGTGCTATGACCGTGATCTCTATGAAAATGACAATACAAATTTTTATTCCTAGTATTCGGGTCTCCTCTCATCCGAGGTGGCCACTTCACATAAGACGCATCCTTGATCGCCATGAGGATTTCTGCTCACTTCACGTTCAAGGGCGTGTAGTTCGTCCTTTCAACTGGAGGAGCTCGAAAAGATTGGTCTGGCTTTCCTCCCTGAGCTGGTTCTTTCTTCCTCTTACTGTCCCCGTTGGTCGAGGTCTCACCTTCTCTTTTCCACTTCTTCGGTGGGTTCTCATTCTTCTGGTTCATCTCCTCCTCTGTTCCGATGAACTGGTCCGCGAGCTTAAGGAATTCGGTTACGTCCTTGGGCTTGTTGGCAACCACATGCCACTTGATCAGGTATCTGCAAACATGCATCATTGAACTTCTTGATGTAGTTGCGGATAGATTCCCCCTCCCTCTAGACTATGCTAAGAAGGCTTTCTTGGGACCTCAGACACCTCTTGCCGGTGATGAAGTGTGGGGTGAAGATTTGCACGAATTGCGCCCAACTCTTGATTGTCCCGGGCACGAGATTTCTATACCATGTGCAAGAAAGCCACGCACATGCAAGACTCACCTGCTCCGGCTAAGTGCATCTGTGATTGAAAAGAATCTACGTGATCATTCGGATCGAATGATCCACCATATTTGTCCAAAGGAGGTACCTTGAAGTCTTTTGGCATCGAGACAGCCAGGAGTTCGGGAGACAAGGGGGATGGCACAGAGAGGAGCGGAGTCACTTTCATTGCTCCCGAGATTGCTTCTTCCTTTCCTTTGAGGAGTGGTGGCAGTTTGGGCAAGTTCTATGTTGTAGCTCGGGGAGCTTTGCGGCGTCTCCGTTGCTTCTTGGTCGGCTCCGCATTGGTACTACTGGCCTCGGTGTTGTCAGGCACAGTTTTCGCGAGGAGTGGCTCGGACTGCTGGCGATGGCTATGGATTGAGGGGCATTGTCTAGAGTCCGCGGCTAGGACCTCGAACCGGTTTTCTATGAGTGGGATGTCAAACTCTGAAAGACGAGGTGATGCGGGTCTGTTAGGCTGAGAATCTCCTGACCTGACCACGCACGGCGAGGTGGGAGTGACTAGTTTCTCCCTCTTGCCGCGGGATGAGACTTGGCTCTTAGGGGGATTCTAGGTCTGGGAGGTCTCTCCCCGGCGAAGAGGGTGTTGATGGCGAGGCTTAGCTTGTTGTGTGGCCGGATACCGAGGTGGAATCGGTTGCTGGTTTTGAGGTAGCGGTGGAACCTGTTGCTGGTACTACTGCTAATAAACCTGGTGTAGCACTTGCTGCTGATACAGTTGGAATTGTTGGACCTGTTGCATTTGAGCTTGCGTAGTTCGCATGTAGTGTACCAGGTCTTCAAGTTGGTTTTGTCCGGTCACCGGGGGAACAACAGATGGTTCGGTGAAGGTTGCACCCGCCATGGAAGGGAGTGGAGCGTTCACAGGTGCCATGATCTAGGGCACATTTAGAGTAGGAACTCCATCCACGGAGAGTGGTAGGGTGAATTGACCAACGCACACCGTCGAGATCTGAGGTTGCTCTCTGAAGGCATTCATGTGCGCACTACGTCCGGCGTTGCTGGAGGAAGCCATGGAAACTGAACTTGGAAGATTTGGTGGAAGAAGGCTTTTCGAAGCGTTTACCACAGACGGCGCCAATTGATGGTGTGCGATCTGGTCACTCCTAGCTGGAAGTGGCTCTGCTCCTACTTGGCGACGGACGAGAGGCACCTAAAAGGAAGAAGATGAAGGATCCTGGGGGAGTTCACTCGGTGGAAACACTCCGACGATCAAGTTAGTAAGCTGGGAGAGCAAAGGAGAGTTGTAGAGAAATTAAAGAGCTGAGTGTGTTGATCACGCAATACCTTTAACCTTGGGGGTCGGGGTCCTTATATACTAGTATCCTGTCAGGTGCATCCGCCTTTGAATCTCTGTTGCGGCGATCTGCTGTCAGATAATGACTCGAAGTGGCTGGCCGTTATTTGTTAGAGCTGAGCTGGCGGACAAAGGTGATTGCTGTAGAATACGGTCCTGCCAACTTCTTGGGTTGGCAGGCACGACGCTGTCAAGCGAGAGACGTGGGTGCAGTCTCCAGGTTTGGCAGGTACGGATGTCAGGCAGAAAATCTTCTACGATACGCCGAACTACTCTGTAGCAAGCTACCTTACACCGAGCTATTGGTGATGCGCCGAGGTGCTTCTCCAAGGCGGGTCCCTGAGGTAGCCTTAGGTAGGAGCGAGCTTATGCTAGGTAGCTGACGAGCTTAACTCGAAGTGTCTTCAGTTCGGGATTCTCCCTACTTGGAGAATCTTAGCTCGGGGTGCTTCCTACTTCAGGGCAACGGAGTATCATCTTGTAGCGAGCTGCCACTTTAGGCGGGTTGTCAGACTGTCAGCGAGCTTCGTTACGCTGAGTTGTATCGAACTTGCTATGCTGAGATGTCACTTTTGTCGAGTCATGTCCACGTGTCCCCTTATTATGAGGTCGGGCGAAATCACCCTCCATCAGAACCCATGGTTTTTAAAACCAATCTAGTGACCAAACTGGTTAGGGGTCCAGTTATTGGGACCGTTCGACCTGAATGGTTGGCCCTTTTTGATAAAAAAATAAAAAAAAAATTAAAAATTTTAAAAAATTGAAAAACAGTCAAAACAGTTCGAATGATTAACCTGCTGGTTCAACAGTTTGCTGACCAAAATCAACGATTTTGGGGAAAAACGGAATCTCGGTTCCTAGTCCGACCGTCCAATCCAGTCCGATTTTGAACCATGATTGAACCAAATGGAAGAAGAACAAATTTCCATCAAATTCCAAATTTACGTCTAATAAGAACTTTTCCCATACAAAGAAATCAATGGAATATTTTAATTTCTGGTTGGGGAAGAGAAATTCCTGTCCAACCAAGTAGCCTAGTTAATTGTAAATTCATCACCAGTTGATCTAAGTTCGGAATATAAATGTTACAGATTTTATTGTTAACCAAATTAGGAGGGAGAAAATGTTGGAGTATATCCCTCTCCCAAACCCTCATATTATTAGAGAAAACTTCATAGACTTTCATGTTTAAATTAACCCTAAGATGAGATTAGTTATGTATTTAATTAATCAAAGGGCCATTCTTAGTCCAGTATCAACCCAAAACTGGTGAACTGGTTGGCCATTACCAGTCGACCAACAAATTCCTTTATTTAAAAGATCTCTAACTTTTAAAATTCCTTACCAACAAAGGGATTTATAACTCTTAGGTTTTAACTTTACTAAAACGATATTACTCTAACCAATCCAACCAAAAGATTCTCATTATCAGTTAGAACTTTCCAACCTATTTGTCCAAACAAACTCATAAATATATTGATGTTGATTGCACAGGTCACCCCATTTGGAGGGCTTACATAATTAATTTTTCCCCTTGGTTCTTAGAAAGGTTGATTTAGTAAATGTTACCCAATATATATATAACACTCCTAGCACATGTGCTTGGGTAACATTTACTATAGATAGATAGATAGGTAAAACCAATATTAATTATTTATTTTTGGTGTTTTTTTTTTCTTTTTACACTTTTTTTATTTAATTAAGCAAGTTCAGAGGTCAAACTGGATGGTTCATCAAAACGGTTTAAGTTCAGTCTTATTCTGATATATAGCACTGTATGATCATGTTATACCCAGATGGAAATCCATTACAAACAGAATCAATATACATAAAGTAGAGACAAGGAGAACTATTAACAACCATCTAACCAGACTTGGGCCGGACTAAAACCAGACAAGCTTATGGTTAAGCATTTGAAACCACAAGTAAACCCTTGAATTAGTATATATAATGCTTCAATCTCTTGATAGCTAGCTAGTGACGCAAATTGTGATGGACTCATGGACTTAACAGTTAAAAAACAAAACGAAAATTCTGAAATAAAAATATTTCAGCCAGAGTCAGAAGAAGAGGATAAATGCATTAAAAATGGCATACATGCACGTGTTTGAAATGGAATCATTTTCTTGTTGAGCTTACTGGGACCGGACATTACCATATTTTGTTTATAAGGAATGGTTGGATTTCAATACTTTAGTGATTCTGAGCTGTTTTTGTTGCAAAGTTTACTTTTTTCTATGGTCTACCATGCATCCAGATAATATGGTGGTATGTACATAATATATGGGATGCATGCCCATGAATCCCGGCCATTCGATGGGGATCAAATTTGATGGAAGAGGAGAGAGTCAATGGGCTGAGATACGTGACGTATTGCATCACGAGCACAAAGCCATACATGTATTGTGAGACGCCACGCTACCATTTTTTTCTTTACAAAATATATATAATTAATATTGTTGTTTGCTTGTTTGACTACTTTTTCAGTTATAAATGGCTTTTCTAAGGTTAGAAGGATAAGAAAGCAAGTCAAGGAGAGGAGGGAAGTAGGAAGAGAAGAGAAGAAAAGGAATCATCAATGGAGGGCACCCAGATCTTTGTGAGTCTGGTTCTTCTGTGTTTCAGTGGTTTCTGTGCTTTTCTGTATGAGGTTCTTTGGTTGAGAGCTGAAAGGCTCAGAAAGAAGCTGAGGCAGCAAGGTATCAGAGGTCCACCACCTTCTTTTCCTTATGGGAACTTTTTGGACATGAAGAGAATCAAGTCTGCTATGGTGGGCATGTCTCCTTTAATGGAGAAAGATGGTAGTCTGACCAGTGACTATACACCTGTTCTCTTCCCTTATTTGGAGTTGTGGAGGAAGGAATATGGTATGATCCAACTCTAACCTCTTTATTTTGTTCTAACTTTTTTATTAATTATGATCTACTAATCTTCCTTTTCTTTCTGTTTTAATTTTTGTGTTCTTCATCTCTTTATCTATCTTACAGTAGTAGTTTGTTCATTCACTATTTGATTGCATCAAAGAGGAGAATATTGTGCCCAAGGAGTAGTCCCATAATATCTTACTTTTTGTCAGAATTATAAGCCAACTGATCATTGGGGGCCCCATGTCTCACAACTTGTCTCCTGTAAAGAGGGTTTGGGTGTGGATGATTGTTGGTGATCAGATGAGAAACTGAGAACATTCTCAAAGTGTTAACCCTACTGTGTCTGTCATCCATTGTCAAGAAACTAGAAAAGCTTGCAGTTTCTTTGTTTTCTGAACTTTCTAAGCCAACGAATGATTATCAGACTTGTTTTGTTATTTACTGTATCCAACTGGTGGATGAAGGAAAAAAAAACAAGAACAAATTAATCTTCTACAGATGAAAATACAAAAAAACATCAAGTGCCTGCACTGTACTGCACTTTCAGTCCAAAGTCCCATTTCTACACAGGCCATGCCAAAAGGAAACGATTATCTTCCTAGAGTGCAAGATGGTGCAAGATGCCCAAAGGGACCATCTCCACCAATTTGAAAACCTTGGGAAGTGTGGTTAATTGTCTAGAAGTGGTTCTTTAATTCTTTTTCTGGGTCTGAAATGCAGGAGCCGTGCACGGGTCTAGCTAGAACCTCCACTACTTGCCACCTTACCACGTTCCAAGAAACGGGACCCACCCTATGCCCCAGATGTAGCATTTGGAGATTACACACTTTGTTCAAATTTGAAATCCTTAGGAGGGGTTCAGTCATATTGAGGTCCTTGTTTTGAGTGGAATTCAGTATCTCTAGGGTTCATTTCTATTTCAGAAGCAATTGATAAAAAAATGGAAGAGGATCAATCTCCATATGCATCTATCCACCTTAGACTAATTAAACCATCGATCAAGCCTTATTGACAGTCCATAGAATAGGTGTTTGATCTATCAGAGTCAATTTTGAAGGGACAAAAGCATGTGGTGCATGTAGAATATATAACTAAATGCATAAAATGATACAGATCTGCCCTATAATCTGCATGCTAAGCCACATGGGAGGTCTCTCAAGTTTACACAAAACTTAGGTCTAACCACCTTTTTAAAAAAGGTACTTTTTCCACCTATAATTAAGTTTGTCCTTGCTTATAATTGGGTTGTGCGTAACAAAGGAACTAACAAAAAAATTAAAAAGAAAGGCAATATAGATCAATAGGCTAGAGACATTCTAGATAGTGCTCTAATCAATGAAGATGAATTGGTCCCAATAACCCTAATTTTTCTGTGATATTTTCCTTGAATGAATGATCAATGATGTATAATTTTTATATTGATTCTCTTCTAGTAAAACCTCTCTTACCACTTTTGCTGTCATAAGTTGTAGGATTCATCTTTAGAACCTAACAGCATTAAATCTCAAGCCACCAGCTCTCTCTGTGTTTCTCAATTGAAGTGGGGTTTAATCTTTTGTAGGTCCAATATTTACGTATGCAACTGGCAATGTTCAACATATATACATCACCGACCCCAATCTGGTTAAGGAGATAAGCCTACATAAATCTTGGGATTTAGGCAAACCTTCATATGTGATTGAGCAACTTGGGGCTTTGCTCGGCCACGGCGTTACAATGTCAAATGGGCATGTGTGGGCTCACCAGAGAAAGCTAATAGCACCAGAATTCTTCATTGATAAAGTAAAGGTAAATTTGACCTCTTCATCTCTTCATTCAATATGCAATGAGAACCCTCCTTAAAATTCTCTGTTGGTGACAAGTATAGGGTCATGGAGGTGTTCATTGATTAGAAGTGCAACTTGCGCGTGTTGGGTGGGATTAGATCTAATCCTGGACTGACCAATAAAATGCATATGATTTGAGTTCTTAATATGCAATATAATGATAAGAAATCTCTCGAAATTCTTTGGTGGCATACAAAAGACCATGAAGGTTGTCACTTGATTAGAAATGCAACTTGCCCGTGTTGGGTGGGATTATTTAGGTCTAAACCAAGGGCCTAACCCTAAGTGTGTTCAATGAACATTAATGGACCTGACCATAAACTTGAGCTGACTCACATGAGGTGCTGATTCTCCTACTAAGCACAACTGAGGATGAATTAATGGACCTATTGGGAGTCTGGCTTATCCCCATCCATGAATTAATCTAATAGAGAAAGTGGGGCAGATAGTACATAATGTAGATAAATAACAAGTGAAACAGAATAAAGAAGATAGTTAAATGTAACAAATTCGAGAAACAAGAAAAATGAAGCTTTTTACATGAAAAACCCTCTAATATGGAGGCAAAAATTACAGTACCTAATCTAACCAAACATGTATTATTTCGATATGAATAACTAGAAGATTTCAACGTCAAGAGCAAATCACTCTCTTGGATGTATGAGATAATCACCAAATAAAGTATATTTGAGTCAACGAACCAAAGGAAAAAAAATTTACCAATATTTGTGGACTACAAACTAGCCAGTAAAAAGCTAAGAAATCCATCAAAAAGCATTTATGGAGAAACTTGAAACCATATATAGCTAAGGAATCAATTGGAAGAACTTATAAAAATAACCAAATAAAGTGAACTGAGTACTACTTTCTTTGTTTTTTTCCCCCCAAGAGAATGAAAAACTCTTTCCCCTCTTTCACCGATAAGGTATGACTTTCTCTACTTTCTTCTCTTTCCCAAGCAAAAAGAAATTCCAAAGTGAACAATGGGATATCAAAAACCCCTCCCTCTCCCATGTGTAGAAGGCTTCTGAGAAAGGGTAAAAGAGATAGTGGAGAATAGACCTCAATATCCACTAGCTTGAAACAAGACTGGTTGATTCATCTTGTTGGGCTGTCCATTTTTCTTCATTATTGCCCATCAAGGAAAGTGGGTTCCACCCATTACGAGGGATACCCAACACTAGGTAGCGTTTGGCTTGAGATACAATGTTATAGAAGAAGAAGGTGAAGTTTTTCTCCTACTGTTTTGTTAAGCAACAAAAGAACTTTCAGGACTAGGTATCCTATCCAATAAACCAAACAACAAACTTATTCAAACAAACTGTCGAATTTGGACTTTTAGGCAAAGTCTAATCCAATATATTAAGCCAGAAAACCTGATTGAAAGCCTTATTTTGAGTCAGGGTAAGAGAGATTGAACAATGTAAGTTGTAATGGGTTTCCTTATGCATCATAGAGACTTACAAAAGTGATTTTCATTTCCTGAGAAACTTAAAGGACCTAACGTAATCCAACTTCAACTTAATTTCAAGATTTCGAATTTCATAAATTTGGCCATTCCAGACCATTGGTCTATGAAAAAAATTTTGGAATTTTGGAATATTGGACAATCTTTATTAAAATTTAAATATTTTATTAATATCTTTTAGTTTGTAAGGAAATTTCCCTTAGTTTTTCCAATGTTTTCTTATATTTATTTTATTGATTTTTTATTATTTTCTAATATTCCAAACTTCTATGAAATTTCATGTTTAAAACTGTGCTTGATTGACAAATTTGATCAGCCTATATGGTTAGCTTATTAGCTTGTGTGTAATCAGGCCATTTCCCAAAAATAGCAAAGTTCCATGCAGGGAAGGTCATATGGAAGATTATGGTGCCAGCTAGCTCAGCTGATAAAACCAGTGAATGTGCTTCCTACTGACCTAGGATCATTCTCTACCTTCACTCTAGAGCCATATTAGACAGGACCTTTGGGTCTGATGTTGCCATCCTCTAACCCAAGTTTTCCAAAGAAAACAGTAAGAAAGAATTAAAGAAACAAGCTCATATGAGGCAATGCTACCATTACTGGAATGTTCAAATCAAAGAAGAAAACCCTAAACAGGGGTTCTTTTGCAAATCCATGGAGTCATGTGGTTTTACATTTTGCCTTTGCAAAAAGAACCCCTGTTTAGGGTTTTCTTCTTTGATTTGAACATTCCAGTAATGGTAGCATTGCCTCATATGACATCACATGGAGTTATGTGATGGAGACCTGATTCCATGGCCCCAGCATTAGTCTAATAAAAATAATTAATATGATCATACAGTAAGAAGTCTTAGATATAACTAAAATGGTAGAAAGGGACTTTTCCTTGAAACCACACCCTACCCAGTACCCACCCACCTCCCAAAACAGGGAAAAATAGATACTTTCAAATTACTTTTGTAGTAGAATACTAGGCCTTAGGGCCCCCACATGGCCCCATGAATCCATGATGAAAAGTGGGCCTATAAAGCCGAGCCTATGTTCCGGAAAATATGATCCATTGGGCTAACAAAGAGAAGAAAAAAGAGTGAAAAACACATATTTGGTTGATAGTTTAAAAGAAAGCTGGTTTTCTACAGCCTACAGTGGAGTCTTGTCAGGTACAACTTTCAGCTCTTCCTATCGAGTTCGATAAGTGTGTCTCGAGGTAATTATAGCCTCCTCACCATTCACTGAGATTTCTTTCAACAGGTTCATCAACTCGAAAAGTTTTCTTCAGATCTCTATGACTTTATAGACTGTGTTTGGTTTCATGTAGAAGGGGCAGAAAACAAAGTTTCGGCCACAAAAGAGACAGAAATGTAACCGCAATTATCGTGCAGGTTTTCTGTCGGCTTTTGCAGTGAAACAAATGGAGCCTAGGGATTTCCTTTCTCTTTTGTTGTTGAAAAATTTTAGCCCATCCCATAGTATACCGTCTTCCTTTCATTCTTGAAGTCCCCTATTAGTAGCCTGTACTTTAGGGCTAGTGCCACTTTCGTCTCCAAACCTAAAAATGCAATAATTTAGTACTTGAACTTTTAAAACATGCCAACCCAATAACTGGTGTTAAATAATCGTTAAATGACATTTGAAAAGACACAAATGCCTTTCATGTGTCATTTTTTTTTATTAACCATTCAAACGTTGACAGAAAATGAACAGTCCCAAAACCTTTTCTCTTCTATTCAATAAAGTTGGGGTCACGTCTCAGTGGACATTTTGGTGACTCCAACTTTTTTGTATCAAGGCAAGGATTTGGAAATATTCAATTTTTGTCAACGTTTGGATGATTGACAAAGAAAATTAGATTACACTCAAAGGACATTTGTGTCTTTTCAAATGCTACTTAATGGCTGGTTAACGGTGGGTACTAAATTGACATGTTTTGAAAGTTCAAGTATTAAATTGTTATGTTTAAAGTTTGGGGACCAAAGTGGCACTTGACCCAAGGTACATGGTACTAATCGTGAATTTTCCATATTAATTACTACAAACCAAAGCTTCCATTCCAAGTGTTGGACCTACTGATGTATTCACTCCAGCTAGAGGCCAGATCTACTCACAATAAAAAAATGTTCCAACATGATCTGTATTCTTACACCGCAGACATGATGGGTCCCAGCCTCATGGTGAGATGTGTGGACACAGATCTTGTTGATACAATTTTTGTTGTGAGCATATCCCATTCCCTCCAACCAACATGTTGGACCTAAAGTTCTACTAAAATAAAAAGTATGCCAATCTGAGGCTCAGTTTGAAAAGAATACAAATGCAAATATATATAGTACAAATACATGCAAAATAATACAAAATATAAGGTTTTGGGGATGGAAGGGGATTAAATTAGGGTAGTAAGGTTTTGCGAAACTCTAATTCGGGTGGATTTATTTCAGATACCGCTTATGACAGAAAGGATTATGATATTGCGGATGGAAGGGGTAATGATGAGCTGGGGTGGGCTTCGCTTAGGACCTATAATAAGGGCTATAATCTGGGCCCAAGCCTAGACCATCCTGGACCTTGGCCAGGACAGGCCGGGATTTCAGGCCCATGACATTAAATTAAAACAACACATACACGTTGTGGGCCAGGCAGCCCAGGCCCAGGATGAGCCTGATCATAAAACCTAGCCCAAGCTCAGAAATTTGTGGACTCGTCCGCGCTGGGCTAGAAAGATCACCCCTAGTCCCTATATAGAATTGCCTGAATCCAAGATACACTACTTTTGATGACCCAAAAATCTTTTAGTTATATTCTTGTCATGACATTGAGAAAATGGGTTAAAAATTGCTTGGTAGAACTTCAACTTTTGTTCATTAGGTAACATTAAATGACTTGTTTAATGGGTAGAACCAGTTCATTGATTCTAACCCTTTCTAATAATGAGTTAACTTGCAAGCTTTTCACTAAAAAAAAACTACAACTAAAGATTTTACATAATTTCTGATGCTTTTATTTGTAGGGAATGGTTGGCCTGATGGTCGAGACGACACTCCCACTATTGAAACTGTGGGAAGATCAGATTGAAGGTGGGGGAGGGCTTGCAGACATCAGAGTTGATGAGGACCTGATAAACTTATCAGCAGATGTGATCTCTAGAGCTTGCTTTGGGAGTACTTATTCAGATGGAAAGGAGATATTTTCTCTGTTTAAAAGACTTCAAAGTACCATGTCTGGTGCAACCATATTTATTAGAATTCCTTATTTGAGGTATAAAAACTGCTTCCAGTTCCAGCTCTAGCTAGGGTTTGAAACAGCTCAGGTCTGCTATGGATCCGATCCGATCTATGTCCTTTTCATTTAGTATATTTTTGACAATGTGTTCATTTTCTGAAGAAATGCCACCACATCAGTGACATGTAGGTGTTTTGACTTTACCTTACCAAAATCTTCTTTGGTTGGGCTGATTCAAATAGAATCTGTTGTAACTTCTTTCTAGCTCCAAGGGGGGTATACAAAATTTGACCACTTTCCTGATTTCCAAAATTAGACTCAAGTACAAACGTTGCCGCTTCAACCAACCACTGTTATCAAATACCACCTTACATATTCCAGTAGCATCTATCACACATTCAAATCCACCCATTTCAAAAATATGGATTATTTGATCAAAACCCTCTAGATAAGGGAATGAAGTGGGCTGACCGAGACTGAGCCCGTAACGGAGTTTGAAATGGAGCAAAAATTCCAAGTTAATTGTTACTCTTTTAAGAATTACAAAAGCATCTGTTTGTGCTTTTTCCAGGTATCTCCCAACCAAAAGTAATAGAGAAGCTTGGAGGTTGGAGCAAGAGATTGAGAAATGGATTTCAGAATCTGTAACAAAACGTAGAGAACAAAATGTGGCATCAACCGAGAAAGACCTCTTACAGATGATCCTTGAAGCTGCCAATGCTGATAAGCTTGAGCAAAAGACTGCTAATCGTTTAGTTTTAGACAACTGCAAGAACATATATGTTGCAGGACATGAGACTGTCTCTTCTGCTGCTACATGGGCCTTGATGTTGCTTGCTTCACATCCAGAATGGCAGTCTCGTATCCGCACTGAGGTCACCGAGGTCTTTGGTGATGGCCTGCCAAATGCTGATATGCTGCACAAGATGAAAACGGTATGTGTTTGCTTCTTTATCAAATGGAAATCTCAGCAAAACTTTCATTTTTTGGGCTGGGCTTGGGTTACATTCATGGGCCCAATAGATCTATGTCTCAGCCCAACCAACTGTTGAACAGTGGCTTATTATATGTACCTAATCTGTTTGCAGTTAACAATGGTGATTCAAGAGACACTGAGGCTGTATCCTCCATCATCTTTCATTGCAAGGGAAGCCTTCAAAGAGAAGCACATCGACGAACTATGCATTCCGAAAGGTGTCAACCTGTGGATTCCAATAGCTACACTACATCGTCTCCCTGAAATTTGGGGGCCCGATTCAGATGAGTTTAAGCCAGAGAGATTTGCTCAAGGCATCTCTGGTGCGTGCAAACTTCCTCAGATGTACATGCCATTTGGACTTGGACCTCGGACATGCTTAGGCCAGAAATTTGCCATGGTTGAGTTGAAGATTATTCTCTCTCTTATCGTTTCTAAGTTCTCTTTTTCCCTATCTCCTAACTATATCCATTCCCCAGCATTCAAATTGGTTATACAACCAGAATATGGAATTAATCTCCTTATAAGAGGAGCATGATTATACAAAATGACTAAATAGAGAATAAGTATTATAAAGGTCTTTTGTAGCCATTTCTCAGTTTACAATGTTTAGCTCAGATTTGCTTTCAAGTGAAAGAAATATAGACTTGCTCAAGAAGACAGAAAAATGGTGATTTTGGTCAGACAGAGCATGAGTCAGGCTAGTGAGTGTCAGACTTCTTTTTTTTTCGTTTTTAATCAAAAAGCTTACGAGAACATTAACATAAAACCTTAAAAAATAAAAGATTCCCAATCACAATGGTGCTATTTGCTTTTACATTTCTCTTAAGCCTGAATTCTTACAATCAACTGGATGGTTGGGTTTCTTCCACCTTCGTAACATGTCTGTTCTAGCTCCAAGTGATTCTTGCATTGTTCTCTCTCCATGATAGAAAGAGTTCTCATATTTACAAAAGAGAAAAATATAAAATATCTGGTCGGCCAAACCTGTTTATCATTCAGGATTATTATCTGGATCTTAAGAGAACAATGGCCATTTTTGCTCGCCAGTAGCATATGAGATTATGTTCTTTTTCAGTGGTGTGATAAATTGTGCTGCATGGAATGCAGCAGCTCGTAATACATTGAGAGGTCCAAAATCAACAGTGTAAGCCTTCTGAAAGCCATCAAGGAGTGCCATCATCATAATATTTGCCGGCTTCCTCTCTGCCTCAAATTTCCTTAACAAAGAAATCTGCAAGTATAGACAAGTCAATTAAGTATACACAGATAAAGCAGCATATAATATAGTACCCAATCAAATGCTTCCTAGTTCCTACTAGGAAATCGGTATCCATATCAGTTTTTTTTTTTTTTTCTTTGATAAGTAGCCATATCAGTTCCAAAATGGTTTGATGGTGCATTTTAAGATGATAATAATAGATGGTAAAGATTTCACTTCAAAATCTTTGGTAATCAAAATGACTAGGCAATGGGACAAGTTGACATTTTTTTTATAGGAAATGGCAACTTTCATTAATTATGAGAATTATAGAATTACAACTGCCACCTTCAAAAAGGTGACCCCTCATAGGATAAGCAAATTATAAGCAAGCCCAAAATAAAGTCTCCCTATTGACCCCTTGTTTTGCTAAAACATCAGCCAACCCATTTGCTGTTCTCCTAACCCAGTTAAACTGTGCTCCTAACTCTCGTGTCAAATTCATTATTTTCCATGTCAAATTCAAATTCCTTGTTTGCATCCAGCCTATGACTAATCTTGAATCCCCTTCCACTTCTAACTGTTGGAGGCTCAACTGTTTAGCCAATCTGAGCCCTTGAAGGAACGCCATTACTTCTGCTCTTAGTGAGTCACCCACCCTTAAGGGCCAGAGAAAAGGGCCAAAACTCTTCCTTCCGTATCTCTAATCACACCCCTGATTCCAGAAGGACCAGGTTTTCCCACAGAACTTTTTTTTTTGATCAATAACACTTTCATTAACTCATCAAAAGAAGATTTACAATAGGAAGACAAACACACTTATCTTCCAAGAGCAACAAAGAACCTCAAGAAAAGAAAAGAAAAGAAAGAAAACACACTATAGTTACAGCTTAGCCCAAAAAAGTGAATCCCTTTCTGCCCCTTGTTTAG